CATCACCATTGCTTTTCCTCTTGCTTCTGAGTGTCCTGGGTGCTGATGAAGCATTGTACTGCTGTACACTGTCGCACTGCATAGTAAGCACACAGCAGCACAACAGTGATGAATGGCAGACGTATGAGCCACTCCTGTGATTTCTTTACTTCTGTGAACGTTCATAATGCAAGGTCCATTCATACCTGTGAAAGTTTGCAACTCTAATGTTTTTAAGGCAAGGATTTACTGTACTTTTCCACCCTCAAATGACAGACACAGTACAGTATTTAAGCTTTTGTGCCTGTTTTATTTCTCTCAACGTTATATTTTCCAGGTGAATCCACGTTCTATAAGTGTCTCAAATATGTCCTTCTTCATAATTGAGTAGTATTCCACTGTGTGTACATGCCACATGTTCTTTGTCCATTTATTTGTTTATGGGCATACAAGCTGCCTCTAGGATTTGGATATTATGAACTGTGCTGCTGTGAATATTGATATGTACATGTCTCTGTAGAATGATGTCCTTTGGGGAAGTTACCTAGAAGGGGAATTGCTGGATCATATGGAATTTCTAAGTTTAGATCTTTAAGGAATTTCTATACTGATTTCCATACAGTCTGTAATAGTTCATAGTCCTACCAAAAATGTACAACAATCCCTTTTTCACCACAGCCACAGCAAGTTTTGTTATATTTTGATTTCTGGATGTTTGCAATTCTTTCTAGTATAACATAACACCTAGTACTGTTTTGATTTGCATTTCACTAATGACCAGGGATTTTGAATATTTTTAATGTTTATTGGCCATTTGAATTTCTTCCTTGAGAAATGTCTCTTTCACTTGTGCATTTCCTCACTGGGTCTTTTTAAGCTGGTCTGATATTTTTAATTCTTTCTATATTACAGATGTTAGTCCTCTGTCTGAAGAACGGCCGTCAGCCATTTCTTTCCTAGGCTTCGTGTTGTCTCTTCACTCGACTTCATGATTCCTGTGCTAGTCCTAAGAGTTTTAATTAGATGTAACGACATGTATTGATTCTTGCTGTTATCTCTTGTCTGTTGGTGCTCTGTTCAGTAAAATCCTTTCCTATATCAGTGCCTTCCAGTGTTTCACCAGTTTTACCTTCCCATAGGTTTAATGTTTTGGCTTTAATGTTGAGATATTTGATCCATTTTTGTTTTGATTTACTACATATTGAAGGATACAATTTCAGTTTTAGCCTTTGGCCACCAAATAACCAATTTTTCTAGCACCACTTGTTGAATAAGCTCTCTTTCTTTCAATGTATGCTTTATGTATTGCTGATGTCTGTGGTTTATTGAGAGAAATAGTCAGAGCTTAAAATTTTCTTTTTTCTTGACCGATTTTGCACGCTTGCATTTGGTAATCAGAATGACTGATCTGAAAACAATATACAATATAAGAACCATTGTTGAACTCCTGCCATCTTGTATGGTGAAGCTCTGTGTCATTTCCAATGTTTTTTATTTTTATTTTTTACTTGTTACTGTCTTGATTGTTTGATCAATCTTACATTCTTATGTCTAGTGGACTGAGCAACTTCATTGAAGATAGTATGTAATACAGCAACCCCTGTAAATGTCTATGATTTTGTTTTGAGGTCATGTATCATTTTTGTTGTTTTTGTGTTGTTTTGATTTTATCTTCATTGTTGTTTTGTCAGTTTTAAAATTTTTAAAATAAAAAATATATACGCTTTTGGTCCCTTAGTCAAAGATCAAACAGACTGAGCATATCTGGGGTTGTTTATTCCTCTTTCTGTTCCTCTGATCCCTGTGACTGTTTTTGTTTTAGTAACGTGACATTTCTGTTACTGCTGCATTGTAGAATAGTTTGACATTGGGTAAATGGATGCCTCCTCTTTTATTCTTGTTGCCCATCAGAACTTTTGCTATTCTGCATGACTTCTGGTTCCGTGTAAATTTCAGGAATGTTTTCTCTACATCTGTAAAGTACTGTTTGCTTTGATGTTTTGATTGTGACTGCACTGAGTCTATGGAATATTTTTCAGAGTATTGCCATTTTCTTTACGTTTGGATATTTGAGACATGAGGCTGTTGTGCAGCCCTGGCTGGCCTTGAACTCGGTATTTACCACAAACTGGACTCATACCCACAGAAATCCTCCTGCTTCAGCATCCTGAGTGCTGGGATTACAGGAATGTGTCATCATGCTCCATAGGAGTAATGATCATTTTGACAGTATTGGTTTTGCCTATCCAAAAGCAGGGCACATGTTTCTGTCCTCTTGAATCTGGTTTGACAGAGTACTGTAGTTTTCTTTGAGGAGGTCTTTCCCTCCTTTGGCTAGGATAATTCCTACAGTAGGTATTTTATTTTTCTTGGTGTTATTATAAATGATATTGTTTTCATGGTATCCTCATCAAATTCAGAATGGAGTATACAAATGCTAATGATTATTTAGTTACTTTTGTATTGTGCTACATTGCTGAAATTGATTATTAATTTTAAGAGTATTTTTGGTGGAGTTCTTTGGGTCTTCTATGTAGAATATCATGTCATTAGCAAATAATGGTCATTTGAGGTCTTCTTATTCTCTATACTGTATATCCCTTTTATTTCGTTCTGTTGTCTGCTTGCTCTGGCTAATGTTTCAAGTACTATATCGAATATAGGTGGTGCTAGTGGGTGTTCTTGAATTGTTCTCAATTGTAGAAGGAATTCTTTTAATTTTTCCCTTTTAATATAATTTGCACTGTTGGTTTGTCATAAATAGCTTTTATCAAATTCAGGCATGGTCCATTATCTTGAAAGTCTGTTTGTATTTTGTTGAATGCCTACTTTGCATCTATTGATGTGATCACATGATTTGTGACTTGATTCTGTTCATATGATGAATTCCATTTATCGATATATGTATATTGAGTCAACCTTGCAACTCTGTGTTGAAACCTACTTGATTATGATGTATGATCTTTTTTATGACATGATGTATTCTGTTCACTAATATCTTGTTAAGGAGTTTTGTCTGTATGTTTATTAGGAGTCTGGCCTATAGTTTTAAGTTTTAGTTGGGACTGTATGAGATTATAGAATCAGAGTAATGCAGGCTTCCATAAGTGAATGTGGGGGCACTCCATCCCTTTCCATTTCTTTGCAGAGCTTGAGGATTAAAGATGATGCAATATTCTTGAAGGCTTTGTAGAATTCAACAATCCATTGGATCTGAGTTTCATTTAGTTGATACATTCTTTCTTACTATCTATATTTCATTGCTTTTCACTTGAGAATTTTAAGTGTTTTCTTGGGTTAGATTTGGTAATTTCTATGAGTTGAAGAATCTTTCTGTTCTTTAAAATTTCCCAGTTTCCTTTAATATTTTTCAAAGTAGTATCCTTTAGATGTCAACAGCATCTAGTGTGCTTTCACTTTTTTCACTTTTAATTGTGTTGATGTCTTTTTGCTTTTTCTTTTGGTGAGTCTGGCTAAAGACATCTATTTGGTTTTCTAAGAACTGACACTTCAATTTGTAATATTTTGTAAATATTTAGTCCCCATTTCATTGATTTCTGCTTTAATCTTTATAATTTTCACACCCCCCCCCCTTTTTGCTTTTGGCCTAGGTTGTTGTTCCTCAAGTATCTTAAGATTTCTCATAAGGTTATATAATTGAATTTGCTCTATTTTCCTAATGTGAGCATTGATTGCAGTGAATTTTCCCCTCAGGACCATTTCCTAATGGCCCAAAGTTGACAGTGACTTCTACAGGCATTCCTGTTAACTGCCAGATGTGTTTACATTTCTACTGTGATTTCTTGTATGACCCATTGGTTGTTTAGCAGTATGTGATAATTTTACAGATTCTTCTACCTTTTTTGTGATTTCTTCTGCCATTGATTTCTATTTACATTCTACAGTATTCTGATAGTACACATAGGGCGATTTTGATTTCTTTATTTATTTGAACAGGCTTTGTGAACTAGTATGTGTTCTCTTTTGGAAAAAGTACCATATGCTGCAGAAAAGAATGTGTACTCTTCTTTTTGGGGTGGAATACATTACAAATATCTGTTAAGTTCAAATGGCCAAGGTGTGGTTCAACTCTGACATTTCTTTATGATTGTGTATTAATGTTTTATGTTCAGCAGTATGTTTTATGAACATAAGTGCTCCAGTACTCAATGCATACTTTTTTTTTTTTTTTTTTTTTTTTTT